AGAAGAGAGATGAGCGAGAGACACAGAGAGAGATAGAGAAGAGTGATGAGTGAGAGCGAGAAAAAGAAGAGAGACAAAGAGAGAGAGAGACAAAGAGAGAAAGGGATAGAGAATGAGAGTCATAAAAAGAGACAGAGAGAGAGGAGATATGAGCGAGAGAGACAGCGAGAGAGATAGAGAGAAAAGAGATGAACGAGAGAGACAAATAGAGAAGAGAGATGAGACAGAGATGCGAGAGAGCTCAAGAATAAAGATGAACAAGATAGATAGAGAGAAGAGAGATGAACGAAAGAGACAGAGAGAGAAGAGAGATAGAGAGAGAGAGAAAGAGAGAGACAGAGACAAAGACAAAGGCAGAGACAGAGTAGGAAAGAGAAAGAGACAGAGAGAAACAAGAGATGAATAAGAGATAAACAAAGAGAGAGAAAGAGAGCGAAAAGAGATGATCGAGAGAAATACATAGAAAAAGAAAGAGGTAAAGAGAGAAGAAAGATGAGTAGGAAAGACAGAGAGTGAGATAGAAAAAAGATAGATGAATAAGAGAGATAGAGAAAGAAAAAAGATGAGAGAGATAGAGCGAAGAGAGATGAGCGATAGACAAAGAGAAAAAGAGACAAAGACAGACAGAGAGAGAAGAGTGATGAGTGAGAGAGAGAAATAGAAGAGAGAGAGGAAGATGAAAAAATAAGTGAAAAGAGGTAGACATAGAAAGAGAGAGAAAAAGAGCGAAAAGGGATAAACGAGAGAGAGACAAAGAGAGATGAGCGAGAGAACGAAAGAGATAAAGAGAAGAGAGAGAGAAGAGAGACAGAGAGACAAGAGAGCCGAGAGAGATAGAGACAGACAGACAGACGGACAGAGAAGAATGATGAGTGAGAGAGAGAAAGAGAAGAGAGACAGAGACACAGAGAGAAAGAGAGAGAGAGACAGACAGACAGAGAAGAGTGATGCGTGAGAGAGAGAAAGAGGAGAGACAGAGACACAGACACAGAGAGAAAGAGAGAGACAGACAGACAAAAAAGAGTGATGAGTGAAGGGGAGAAAGAGAAGAGAGACAGAGACAGAGACAGAGACAGAGACACAGAGAGAACAGACAAATAGAGAAGAGTGATGAGTAAGAGAGAGAAAGAGAAGAGAGACAGAGACAGAGATAGAGAGACAGAAAGATGAAAAAATGGGTGAAAAGAGAAATATTATATCAAAAGAGTACGACGACGTCGTTTTTTTTTTTTTTTGTGTTAAAAAAAAATACCGTTTCATTTATTCAAACTATTTTAGACTAATATATATGAAGGGTCTCCAAAGCCAAATATATATATATATTTTACTTTTTTTTTTTTTTTTACAACGGTACTTATTACCGTCGCAAAAAACTTTTTTTTTTCTTTTTGCGACTGCAACTGGTGCCGTCGCGCAAAACTCATTTTTTTTGCGGACAACAATCTCGTTCGTCGCAAATACTCTATTTTTTTTTTGCGACAACATTTTTCTGTCGTCGCAAATACTCTATTTTTTGCGACTGCAATGTTGTGCCGTCGGCAAAAAGTTCGATATTTTTCGTGACGGCAAGTTGTGCCGTTTCAAAAAGTCACATTTTTTTGCGACGGCAGGTTGTACCGTCTCAAAAAAGTCACATTATTTGCGACGGCATTGCGACGACAAATGTGCCGTCGCAAAAAGTTCCGTCTCTTATGCCCACTTTTCTTGTAGAGATCAAGTAGTCAAATGACATGGTTATGAAAGTTCACCAAGCAAGTCCCGAGTCGAGTCGAGTCTAGTCTAATCTGAATTTTTGTTTCCTCTGGCTCCATTCCTACTACTTCGTTCATGGTTGGCCTTTCACTGCCTTTCACTCTTAAGCGTCCTTCTCTACTAAAATAGCGACTTCCTTAATCTTAATGTGGTCAGCCTTTGCGTAATCCATCAACGATTTCAAATAAGAGATCCTCTTTCTTGAGGAAAGAAAAAGTATCTAACTAAATTTCTTTCCTCTTTATGCCTATCAAAAGATAGTGCCTTCTTACCCATCCGTAACTCCACAAGGACCGCCCCAAAACTATAAGCTTCACTCTTTATACGAAGTGGTTTAATTGAATTGTCTAGGACCAAGTGAAAATCCAGAGTTGGATACTTTCTGTGTACTTCTATCTAAAGAGGATACTACACCTAAGGGTTGTGTTTTCGTTGATTTTAATTAATTAATTTATTTTTTTGAAAATGAAACCAATTAAATTTAAAGCACCCATTGTTTTCATTTATGTGCGGAAACAAAATTTTGAAATTGCTAAAACAACTTTTTACGGTTTCCTAAAAAGTGAGGTTTTTTAAATGACAAAAAAATTCCCAAAATTATGTTTTCGAAAAAGTTCTCAAGCTAGTTTGTGTCTTTTTCATAAAATGAATACAAAAAAACAGAAAACGAAAACACAATTAAACAGTAAATTTTAGAAGGAAGTACCGTAATACTTTCACTTCTTTTCCATTTTCACTTCCATTCAAGGAAATGATGAGAAGTACAGTTTACATGTGCTAATGTACAAAGCAAACCTCAACAAGAAGTTCAATTAAAAGCACTCAAAACAACACACAAAGTCCTAACCACTTAAGCTTTAAGCTAGCTCATGATAAGCTATATATAGCAGCTCAATATCCATTCTTGATGATATATCAATCACATAATCACACGGCCTTCACAGCAAGGAACCTTGGTTCCTTAGGAAGGAACTTCTGCTCAGCATAGACTGACATGTAGTCCCCAAACACATACTTAGGATAAGCAACTTCTTCATCCTCTTCATGGTTCACCTTTTCCATAACTAGTTCTTTTGCAGGAGCTATGGTTGCGTCGAGCGACGGATTGTAGAACGAAGCAATCGACCTTCTGTTCCCATCCAGTTTGGTCAAAACCCTGTGCCAAACACTCTTGTACCTCCCATTGCTCAACACCTCGATCTGGTCACCAGTGTTGATGACAATGGAATTGGGCATTGGTTGGACATCAATCCATTGTCCATCTTTGAGGATCTGAAGTCCTCCAACTTTGTCGTCTTGATAGAGTAAGATGACACCTCCGGCATCGGTGTGGGCCCGAAGTCCGATCACCTTGTCGGGATGAGGACATGGTGGGTAATGGCTGACCTTGGTGCCAAAGAAGGCTTTTTCACCATCTCCACCGTTGAATGCTTTCTTGATGTATCCCTTTGGCAAGCCCAAGTTCTCATCCATGGCTTCCATCACTTTCTCGCCCAGTTTCCTCAACTCAGATCGGTATTCTGTCATCGTTTCCCTGCCATCAAGTTCACAAGTTATACCATATTATTAAACACGGTGAGCGTTTTGAAAGTACTCTGTTAGATTACCACTGGTCTTAAAAACTTAATCTGTTAAAAAATAGACTTAATTATACATATCGAATTAATACTCTCCTCACATATGATCTCGTTTGGCACATGGATAGACAAACAAATTGAGTGAACAAAATACATAAAGATAAATAAAATAAAATAAAGTGCATAATAATAAAGATTAGAAGGGTAAAAAGACTTGAATTTTGGTCTTGAACCTTCTCAGAACCAGAAGTTTAATACCATATTAAATAATCAATAACTAATTTGGAGAGCAATAGATCTGGTATTAGTAGTGATAGACCATATTCTTTTTTCTTTTCTTTTGTTTTAATATTATATATAAAATAAACAATTTTTTTTACTATACAAAGATAATGATTCTCAGGTGTATTTATTAATGTGAGTTGAATTACATTTGTGTTGTGTATTTATTAATGTGAGTTGTATTACATTTGTGTTGAGTGACAAGAAAATGTTATAAGAAATCTGTTTATGTAAATCATTACTCAATTTAAAATTTAGATTACATCTTTTTATGCTTTGCTTGGTTGCTGATAAAATTAGGTTATTCTTGAGTCTCTTCCGACTTTTTCTATATTTTCTCAGTAACCAAACAAGAGTACTCATAATTCATAGCAACTGGAAGACAAATCGAGAACAAGAATGATAGGTGAATTTGCTTACTTGAATCGCGGAGTCTTTAGTATTGGCCACTCCTTATCATCAGAGAGGAGGAAAACATCCTCCCAATCCACATTCTCCAACTTGTCGCCACTCTTCTTGTCCATCAAATCATTCAACATCTTCACTGGTTCTGAGTTCTTGAAACCTTCTTCTCTATCTTTCTCAAAGCATTCAGAGCACACTTTCTTCACCCTCTCAAGGAGCTCCTCTGGTATCCCATGGTTCACCAACTGTGTTTCATACCATATTGGAATAAATACTAATTATAATTTATAACCAAGTTTTTAAATAATGGTATGGAAATCAGTATAAATTATGGCGTAGTGTGATCAGGAGTATCAAGTGATACGAATCAGGAATCAGATGAAGGATTGTGAATTTTCAAAATAATTAGTCACAAATGTTATATATATAGTAGCTGATCAAGCTGTGTTAGGTGTGGATCAGCTATGAACAAATAGTAGCAGCATAGCTATTGAAAATCAAGTGATGAGTTGTAAGTTTTTAAAATAATTAGCACAATTTTTTAAAATTTTTTGGTAGCAGTCGAGCTAGCTGTATGAACTATAAATCAATTATGAACCAATACTGAATTGGTTCATCTATACAGACGATTTTTAAAATCTTGTTTATAATTAAGTGTACTTCAAATGTAGAATCACATAAAAATACCAAGCAGTGTGAATAAAAAATTGAACTGTCATCATAGGAAAACAAAAATACTTGCACACAAATAGATCACACTCGTGAATCCACCATGAGACCCACAAGGTTCACATCTTTTGAGTGTTCGTGATCCATTTTTGTACACGTAGAAGTGTTTCATATCTATTGTTTGATATGCCAAGACAAGAGAAGGATGATTCTTGGTGGGTATCTGCTCATGAGCATATGATGTGAAGAACAAAGGTGCAGTGCAGTGTATACCGTTGATCACCATTCAAACAAGGGGATCGAACGGTCATGATGATGAAAATTCCACAAAACCCACCAATCTTTTAACATCCTTTTGCATGTTATCATTAGCTAATAGAGAATTTATCAAAGATATGTTATCAGAAAGTACCTGAAAGAATCCCCATTCTTCGCACCCGTTAGCGATCTGAGCCATTGTCTTGGCCCTCTCTTCTCCATTGAGTTTCGAGAAATCAATCACTGGATTTGCCATTGAAATGAGCAACTGACTTAGAGAGAGAGAGAGAGAGAGGCTTTTTGTAATGCCTTTGCTTGCTGGGGTTGTAGTGGTGAAGATGGTGTCTGATGTCTTAGCCTATTTATAGCCATTTTCTTCCTTCCCGCTATCTTTATTATGTCAACTCTATATATTTTAATCTCTTTGTTTCTTGTTAGGAAAAAAAAAATAAATAAAGAAATCTTTGTGTTAGGAATTTTATTAATATACAGTGGCGGTTAGGGGTAAGTGGTCAAGGTGTTGGACGGTGACCTTAATTATATTAACTAACTAATTATAACTTACAAAACAAATTTCAAATGTCAATGTTTTGAGTGTATTGCTAACCCACAACACAAGCTTTACTCCTTTTAGGTGATGCATCTCATTTTCTTTTGTTTTAAAACAGTGTTACTAATACAGAAACCACACAAAAAATGATACTTATAATTTTATATTTTATAATTATGTGCGTGTTTGTGACACATTCAGTATATTACATTAGATTTGAGCATCCATTTCATCAAGAACATTAAACCTTGATCCTCTCCCGCCAATGGACCTCATGGACTTCGTTTACACCACCTGAGAAGGTGACAATTATGTTGGACAATTTTTATTATATTTGAAAAATAAATTCTGTTTGTGTGCTTAACAACAAACAGAGTACAGAAGAAATAAAAGAAAATGAGAGAATTTGTTTGATTACAAAAATCAAAACAGAAAAATAAAATAAAATAAATAAAAATAGATTTTTATTTTGTTACAAAAACAAAATTAAAATCTGATTTAAATAAATAATAAACCAGAAAATAAATTAACAACTTACTCGATTAATTTCTTGAACAAATTTTTGATCAAGTCCAATGTTTAACACTGTGTCCTTAAGACAGATTCGTCCTCTCCATGGTGCTTTCAGATTTTCAGACGTCTATCTCACAGGATAAAATGATCAACAATGAATAAATGCAGCACTACAATTTATTCGCACAACGAACACACTTTGTGTTTATACTCTTTCTCACAGAAAATTAGATGCAGCAAAATGCAGAGAGCAGTAACAGATTTACGGACGAAAATTAGAGTGAAAATCAAATGAGGGACTTGTCTTATTTATAGATGTAGTGGCACTCTTGTATTTTGAATTGAACAGGTAGCATACCTGTTTGAACAGGTATTGAACCTGTTGAGTTTGAATTTGGATTGTTTGGGTTCAAATTTAAATTCGGACAGATAAAAATTGTATTTGAATTGTTTCGAATCTGTACAGAATTTCAGATCTGTTTGTGCAGAAACCATGAAGAGGTGCAAAAATTGAATTTGATTTTCCAATTGAAATTTAAATTCAAACAGTTAGAATTTATTTTCCAAAGATAAAAAATAAATTAAAATGTTTTTAGCGCAAAAAGATTAGTGTTGGGCCGGACAAGCCCAACCCAACTACACACCCACGCCCAACCCCAACCCAATCCAGCTCGCCCGACCGACTGGATGGACGGTGCGCCCGTATGTTTATTTTGGGTCCAATGGGTCTAACCCATTTTGCCCATAACCTCCATCTCTACAAAACTCGGGTGCCCTTTGGGGCCTACCCCAAGTTCCAATCTCATGCCTTATAAACCCACTCAAAGTTTTCCACCAAAATCAATGTGGGACAAGCCATTTTTCAAACCTTAAGGAATTTTTACCAAAAACTCCATTTTCATGGAGCTTACTTTGGCTTTAATTTCTCATTCACCCGATAATGGTTTTGAGCAATATATCACGTGAATCACAATGCAGCATAGAACGCGTTACCACTTAGGTTTGCCAACTTTGGCACACGAGTCCCACCTAAAAATTAGACCAAAGTTTAGGAAAAATTCTATTTTTCCAGAATTTCCAAAACCATTTATAACAATCCCCCACATGAATGAAATTTGATGACAACGGAAATGCAACAATATGCAGAATTTGTCGAAAGAGTATAAATCGAAAATATCTTGCATCATGATAGGTAGTTTTCGGCCTTGAACTTTTCCTAGTGATAACTTATTGGACTTACTAGCTAACCAATGGGCGCGATGCCTTGAATTGTTCAACCGTTTATGTAAGCCAAGACAATAGATTTGACACAAAATATCTTCTGACATGTCGTGGTTCTCACGGTTGTGTTCATTTTGGCCTTGAACGCTCCTGGTTTTTATGAGTGCTTCTAGAGAATTTAGCCTTTTCATTCTCATAGAACCAGCCCCAATTCGACACTCATATAGGTGATTCTTATTGTAAGTATCTCCTTATACTCGTCTTGATTTTTATGCCTAAACCAAGATATAAGTAATCATTAAAAGCTAAGCTTATCCTTAGACCTCTACATACAACATATGTTGCAGATATCACTCTCACCATAGGAATGAGTAGAGAATTTTAATCTCTTGGTGATTTCTGGCGAGCCACACAGAACTTAGTTGTCCCTTTGAACTTAGTTCTTGGGATCTCTAGTCATATAAGTAGGGTTACCATTATGATGACTATTATGCAATAGGTTTTAATCCCATCCCCTTCGATGAACTATACACTTACTCTTTTGTCAAACTTTTTGTTAACGGATCCGCAATATTCTCTTTAGATTTTATATAATCTATTGAGATTATTTCATTTGAGAACAATTGCCTTACGGTATTTTGTCGACGACGAATATGTCGTGACTTACCATTATACATATGACTTTGTGCCCTGCTTACTGCAGATTGACTATCATAATGAATACAAATAGCTGGCACATGTGTTGGCTACATTGAAATGTCTTCTAAGAAGTAGCGAAGCCATTCTGCTTCTTTTCCTGCTTTGTCTAAAGCAATGAACTTAGATTCCATTGTAGATCGTGCGATTCATGTTTGTTTCGTGGATTTCCAAGAAACAACTGCGCCTCCCAGAGTAAAGACATATCTACTAGTGGATTTTGAATCTTTAGTATCCGATATCCAATTGGCATTACAATGACCTTCGAGTACTGCTGGATATCGAGTAAAGTTCAAATTATAATCACGGGTAAATCTTAGATATCTAAGAACTCGAATGATCGCGTTCCAATGGTCTTTTTCGCGGTTACTAGTGTACCTAATCAATTTATTGACTACATAAGTTATGTCAGGATGAGTACAATTCGTTAGGTACATTAGGCTTCCAATAATTTGGGAGTATTTTAACTAAGACATCGCATCACCTTTATTTTTGATAAATAAAGATTGATGTTTACAGGTATTCTAGCTACATTCATATCATCCTTGATAAATTTATCAAGAATTTTCTCAATATAATGTGATTGAGATAATGTATATTCGTCAAATGTTTTAGTAATTTTTATTCCTAATATAACATCTACGACCCTCATATCTTTCATATCGAATCTTCTATTAAGCATTTGTTTAGTTGATTTGATCATATTTGACTGCTTTCAATGATAAGCATGTCATCCACATAAAGACAAACTATGACATATCATTGGTCAGTGTTTTTAACATAGACGCACTTATCACATTCATTTATCTTAAACCCATTAGTAAGTATAGCATAATCAAATTTTTCATGCCATTGCTTAGGTGCTTATTTTAATCCATAAAGAGATTTTACAAGCCGACAAACTTTCTTTTCTTGCTCCGGTACTACAAACCCTTCAGGTTGCTCCATATAGATCTCTTCATTTAGATCACCGTTTAAGAAAGTTGTCTTAACATCCATTTGATGTATTTCTAAATTATACAACGCTACTATAGCAATAAGAATGTGGATAGATGTTATTCTTGTCACAAGAGAATATGTGTCAAAATAATACAGACCTTTCTTTTGCCTGTAACCTTTTACTACAAGTCTTGCTTTATACTTGTCTATTGAGCCATCTACTTTTATTTTTCTCTTGAATATCCACTTATATCCAAGAGGTTTAGAACCAAGTGGAAGATCCACCAATTCCCAAGTATGATTTTGCATAATGGATTCAATTTCATTATTAACAGCCACTTTTCCACAAAGATGCTTCAGGACCTATCATTGCTTCCTTAAAGCTTTGAGGTTCATTTTCTAACAGGTATGTCAGAAAATCTGGACCAAAGGATTTTGATGTTCTTGCTCTCTTACTTTGTCTTGGTTCATCATCAGTTAAATCCTGTTGGTTGAGACCATTACTAGCCTCTTGTGTTTGATTGTCATTAGTCTCTTGACTTTGCGTACAATTATAAGTTCTTTTCTGTGAATTTAATTCCTGTCCTTTCTTGTAAGGAAAGACTTGTTCAAAAAACATAGCATTCCTTGACTCTATAATAGTGTTCACATTTATATCAGGTATTTATAAGTTAGAAATCGATATGCACTACTATTCTGAGCATAACCAATAAACACACAATCCACTGTTTTTAGTCAAATTTTAGTCTTTTTAGGAACAAGAACTTCAACTTTTGCCAAACACCCTCACACTTTTAAGTATTTGTAGGAAGGTGGTCGACCTTTCCATAATTCATAAGGAGTGCTGTTGATTTTCTTGTGGGGTATTCTGTTAAGTACATAATTAGTAGGCAATGTTGCTTCCTCCCACAAGTTTTACGGTAAACCTGAACTTAGTAACATGGAATTCATCATTTCTTTAAGGGTTCTATTCTTCCTTTCAGCAATTCCATTTTGCTGTGGAGAATTGGGTGCTGTAGTTTGGTGAATAATGACATATTGTGCACAAAATTCATTTAATGGTGCATCATATTCACTACCCCTATCACTTCTAATCATTTTAATGATTTTTCTAATTTGATTTTCAACTTCAGTTTTGTAGAGTTTAAACATTTCTAAGGCTTGATCTTTACTTCTAAGTAAGTATAAATAACAATATCTTGTGCAATCATTGATAAATGTTATGAAATACTTTTTGCTTCCTCTAGTTTGAACAAATTTAAGATTATATACATCTGTATGAATTAATTCTAGAGGTTCGGTTTTTCTTTCAATCGATTTAAATGGAGCCTTGGTTAGTTTCACTTCTACACAAGTCTCACATTTGTGAATAGGATCAATTTCAAACTTTGGTTACCAAACCAATTAATCTACGCTAAGCATCA